GGGTTTCCCCTATCGGTAAACAGCATTTCGGCAAATCAGCATGAACGAGTACTGTTTCTAGTACTGGTTGAGGAGGATTGTAGGAAAGAAGATGTCAAGACATCCCAGAGACATGTGCCTCCAATGAAAGCCACCTGCTTGCTTGGCAGCGAAAGTTCGGGACTGGGACTGGAAACCCTGGGGAGCGAGGTAACAACATATCCTTACAGGTCACGCAGCCGAGGCTGCAGGAACCTTTGCGCAACAAATGAGGATGTACCCAGCATTGTAAACCCTAAACCCTAAACCCCCCTACAGAGTGCGTTCAGCATGGCAGACGTCACATCGGCAGCAGCAGCAGCTCCAGCAGCACCAGCAGCACCTCCGGGGCAGCAGCAGAAGCAGGAGCACATGCAGCAGCAGCAGGAGCACATGCATCAGCACCAGCACCAGCACCCGCACAGCCAGCCACAGCACTATCAGCAGCAACGTAAGCCACTGCAGCTTCTAGAGTAGCGGACTGAGCTGTTTTTCAGATGCTGACATCCGAGTCTTCCTCGACTGCCATCTCTTCCCGACGCCTCTTTCGGCGCTGGAGCCTCTCTTCGTCGCGCTGGCACAGCTGTTGGAGGGTGTCTTCACGTGTGTGCCTGAAGTCCTCGAAACGGGAGAACCGGTGCCATTGGGCAGCATGATTCCTTGTCACAGAGTTGTCCTCGTCAAGCTCCAGCGGTGGGCGGCGCCACCCAGGACCATCTTGCCAGTAGCCCTTGCGCCAGTCAGTGTGTTCAGGGTTATCGTGCACGCGGTAGCTCACATCCTCACTGGCAGTGGCGTCTGAAAACACCCAATTCCGGATGCGAACCTTGCGGCCGCCAGGAATGGACTCCCAGCAATAGCTGCGCAGCAGCTGGCAGTTGTCCATGGTCATAGTCTTGCTGCTGGGGCGTGCCTGGGGCAGCTCTGGAATCCGAATGAGAAACCTCGGGCCATCCGGGTTCTTGCGCATGGCATTGGCGGCGGCAGTCTGCAACACCTGCACGAGCTTCTCTTCAGAATCAATGAATGCCCCAGGTTGCATAAGGTACTCGCGCAGCCACGATCTGCAGACGCTGAAGATTTCGGCATCGCAGGGCCCCTTACCGTGTTTCTCAACCAGAAAGGATGTCACGCAGCGCTGGGCATGCTTTTGCGGAATCTCCACAAGCAGCGTGCGGCAGGTCTCATAGCTTCGGAAATGGTTTCCAGCATCGAACACCATCCGCAGACAGTCTAGCTTCGACAGCCCAGACACATGCCTGATGCTCTGCTTCAGCAAGAGCGACGTCAGCAGCGCGCTCTTCTCAATCACCTCAGAAATGTAGACGATGATGAGCGTCTCAAGCTTGCCACCACGGCGGTGGACAACGTAAGCACCGTAGAGGCTGAGCGTCTTCCTCTGCGCCCCGTGCCACATGTCACCTGCAGGGCGCACATTTGGCATACTAAGCAGTCATGTCCTGTAAGTTTAGATTCTAGCGTGGGGCAGCTTCGATTTGGAGGAAAAGAAACACCATACAATGATGCAGCAAGGCAGCTCGTCTCATGGTGTGCCATCGGTATTGGCACATTTTCGCAGTAGTCTGCGTGATAATACGCTGTGCGCAGCGGAAGGTCACGGATGGTCCGTCGCATACTTGCCTGCTCCCTTGCAGCACTCAGTACATGCCAGTCGTAGGCAGCAAGTATCTTTGTGCGCAGCTTCAGCTCCTTTAGAAGGCGCCCCTCGGAGTGCCTGATGAGGGCTGGAGTGGGAGCACGCCTGCGAATGCTCTGGCGCTGTCTCTCGTGCTTCACCTCGAGGTAAGAACGCACCAACTCCAGCTTTTGCAACATGTCAGTACCCCCCAGCCCGGCCGCTGTAGCCTCATTCGCATGCACTGGCGACCAGTAAGAGGGACAAACGGCCTCCATCTCAGAAAAGACCCGCCCCAAGAACTCTCGCGCCCGCGGCACCAGCTTCTGCTTGTACACAGCGCAGTGGTCACACATGTCGGTGAGCCTTCTTCCCCGCCGGAATTCCTTACAATGACGTCTGACAATGGCTCGGAATTGCGTCTCTTTCATTTTGGCGGCTATGTCTGCGGAGGAGTGGTAGAGGCTGGACAAATAACAGTTCAGGGCGCGCACTCTTCGCCGCACTCTCTTTGCTGTCCCGTCCTTGTCCTTACGCTTCAGCACGCAGGTCACGCTCGAGGGTGTTGAGTTCTGGATGAGAACACCCCGCACAAACTTGATGAGGCCCGGGTCATCACGCTTGGAGGGACGGCCTACATTCCTTCGTTCGCGCCATCTCTTTACTCGAACACGAGCATGCTCTAGCCAGGCACTCTTTGGCATGGAGTAGCCGAGTTTCACCAACTGTCTCCGGTTGGTGAAGCCACTCCTCCACACTGCTCGGTCCATAGCTCTCACCACAGGCATGTGATGGTTTCTCCAAGCTGCGCGCATTTCTCCAGCTCACCAACCAATGTCCGGCAAGCCTTGGCTGCCTTGGCTGCTTCCGCCTGGGGCGCGGTCGAAGCGTGTAGGTGGGCCTGGACAGCTGGCGCTTCGCGACGGCTGCCAGCAGCTCTCCTGCGTCTACTTCATCACTGCAGTACTCCCTGACCGCCCGCTCCACTTCAGCAACAACCCTGCGCTTGCTTCGGTCAGCCAAGGCTGCGAAGTTCTTGTGCTCTGGCATTGCTGAAGCTGTCACAGGCACAGGCTCGTCTCCCTGCGCCAGAAGGTTTTAAAAGTTCACATTATGCGCTTAAGTTCTAGCCTCTACTAAAAAGTTTTCGACTAGCCAGCCTTGCTACTTGTCGAGGGTTCAGGCACCCGCGTAGGCGCCTTCCGTGGCTGAGGCTTCGCTGTCGCCACTGCTTTTTGCTCCGTGCCATCTGTCTGCTCCTGGTCAGGGGGGCTTGCGCGGTCTACCTCACCCTACAGCTCCAAGGACTTAAGTGCCTAGCTAAGGGTGTTTGTGACAAGACTCCTGAAAGTAGTTTTGCTTTTTCGTCTCAGTCAGCTGTGGCCACCACACACCGGGCACTTCCTTCATGATAAGGAATTGCCTTTGCTAGCAGGCCGCCTCTGGCCGGTGTTCCAGGCTTTGCTCTTCTAGCTCTCTCCACCAGAAGATTCTTGGTAGCCTCATCATCCAGAAGCCTATTCAAATATCGGACATGCGCTCGTCGCAGCGCATCCGAAACAGGCATGGCATATGAGTCTTTCAAGTACTAGGAAATGAGACTGAGTGGGTAAGGGGCCACCTGGGCAGGAAAACCGTCCACATGGGGTATCGGTAGGGTATCCGTAAGGGTATCGGTGGAAAGCAGGTACGGATCCCAGTGGTTTACAACGTTTGCCTTGCATGTTCTGGATGGGACTGTGCTACTGTGTATCTTCGACACGTCTCTTCCCTGAAGCCCTGCAGTGCTTCCGGAAATCAACCCGTTCGCTATTTAATCCACGCAATTCCTCCAAAATCCAATCCAAACTTTTGAAATCCGAAACGCTTCTTGCACAATCCGCTCTAATCACTATATAACCCCAGACTACTCTGCCATAATTTGACCCAATCACTATGGAATCCCAGACTACTCTTCCATAATCCGACCCAATCACTATAGAATCCCAAACTGATCTTCCATAATCCGCCCTAATCACTATGTAACCCCAAACTTATCTTCCATAATCCGCCCTAATCACTATGTAACCCCAAACTACTCGTCCATAATCCGACCCAATCACTATAGAATCCCAAACTTATCTTCCATAATCCGCCCTAATCAC